TATATATATATTTATTTATTTATTTTTTCCTCCTTTAATGTCACTTATATGCAGTACAATTCAATTAAAAACAAACTGAAATTTTTTAGTGGGGAAAAAATAAAAATGTAGTTGCATAAGTGTACACACCCTCTCATAATTAGGGTAGCATGTGGCTGTGTTCATAATTAACCAATCGCATTCAATCTGATGTTAAATAGTAGGCGGTACACACCTGCCATCACACCCGATGAATCCCATATAACGTTCAGCTGTTTCGACAGGATTTTTCTGGCATTTACTCAATTGTCTCTTACATCTCAAGGTGGCCATACACTGTACAACCATCGCAAGACTAAGTGTTAAAAAAACGTACGATCTGCCCATCTTGGACAGGCAGATCGTACTCTCGATCATCGCAAGCCCGCCCCCCTGAGGGGCGGGCTTATGATGACTGCAATGAGGGGCGGGCTTAAGATGACTGCAAACGGGCTGTGTGCGCGTGCGCACACCGGCCCGTTCGGCAGTTGTCGAACCAGCAGGCCACTAACCAGCAGGCCACTAAGGGTTTTCTAGCCTGCTGGTTCGACGGAAGACGTGCGACCGCACAGTAGAAACGGTCGCACGCCTTCCATACACTGCACGATTCTTGTACGATTGCGGGATTTCCCGCGATTCTCGTACGAGAATCGTGCAGTGTATGGGCACCTTTACATACATGAAAATATCAGTCAGAATAAGGGTACGAAAACATTTCCAAGGCATTGGATATACACAGTGAAAACGGTCATCAACAAGTAAAGAAAATATGGCACAATTTTGTGACATCACCGAGAACTGGACATTCCTCCAAAATTGATGAAAAAAACTGGTCTGGCAGGCTGCCAAGAGGCCTACAGCAACATTAAAGGAGCTGCAGGAATTTCTGGCAAGTACTGTTTGTATACTACATGTGACAACAATATCCCTTATTCTTCATATGCCTGCGCTGTGGAGTAGGGTGGCAAGACAGACGCTTACCAAGGAAAAACATCCTAGCCTGGCTACATTTTGCAGTCTGACAGAAGCATGTGGGAAAACGTGTTATGGTTTGATGAGACCAAGATAGAACTTTTTCATAATTCCAAGAATTATGTTTGGCACAACAACAACACTGTGCATGACCTAAAGAACACCATACCCACAGTGAAGCATCCTGGTGGCAGCATTATGATATTCTTCAGCTGGAACTGGGGCTTTAGTCAAGGTGGAGGGACTTATGAACAGTTCCAAATATCAGTCAATTTTGGCACAAAACTTTCAGGCCTCTGCTAGAAAGCTGGAAACTAGAAATGTCACCTTTCAGCATGACAACGACTCAAAGCATACCTCCAAATCAACAAAAGAATGACTTCCCCAGAAGAAGATCAAGGTTTTGGAATGGACCAGCCAGAGCCCGGATATTAATCCAATTGAAAATCTCTGACCTAAAGAGGGCTGTGCACAGGAGATGACTTCGCAATCTGATTTGGAGCACTTTTGCAAGGAAGAGTAGGCAAAGATTCCGAAGGCAAGATGTACCATGACAATAGACTACTACCCCAAAAGACTGAATGATGTTATAAAATCCAAAGGTGCTTAAACTATTAGTTTAAGGGTGTGCATATTTATGCAACCACGTAATTGTAAAATTCGTATGTTTTCCCCTTTTTAATCGAATTTCACAGATTATAGGTCACATTAAAGGTGGAAAAACTCTGAAGTGCTTTATTTTGGTCTGATTATTTTTTTACATCTCAAAAACCTGGCATTTTTACAGGGGTGTGTAGCAGACTTCTTACATCCACTGGGTATATGTATGTGAAATTTTATATATATATATATAAAACATACACACACACAACGAGAGATATATTATCAATCTAAATCTATGGGTAGGGTGCTGGCACACAGCTGGTCTGCAGCAACAGCTCATGAAGAAATAAGTAAACACATATAGAATGAGGTCAAGATGTGATCCATCCTGTTTTGATGAATGTATCTTGATAAAGCTGCACTGCACCCCACCTAAACAATAGAATAGGCGGCATACCTTTCTACACATACACACAAAACTTTGAAACTTACATTTACATACAATTATTGACTTATCACCTCCAGCAAAATCAGCTACCCTTTGAACAAGTTAACTGGTAGAGGTAAAGAGGTGCATGAGATGTTAAGAAGAGTCAGACCAATCTTTATATAAAACCTTCTCCACTCTATCTAATTTGGTGGTTTTTACTATTGTGAAGTATTCTGACAGCTGGTGTGTATAGCCATGTTCAGACACCTGTACCAGCTTATGACAGGATGTGACTGCACGTGGGTACAAGCCGACCCGAATTTGCATATCCGTACAGGTACGGGTGCAGACGGGTTTCTGCATGGATGTGCACATTGTACGGCAGTGCACATCCATGTAAATAAGCCCTAAATGTGTGGGTTAAACGGAGAACCCTCATAAACTAAATATGCTTTGTCTCCACAGGTTCTATCTCATAAGTGGTGGAGTACCTTTTATTATTTGTGGAGTAACTGCTGGAACCAACATGAAAAACTATGGGAATGAAGATAATGCGCCTTAGTAAGTAACATATTTGGACTGGATTTTTTTCTACGATATCACAGTGGGTTTTTAGCTCCAAGGTAGAACTGGACCTTTTCCCATATCCTTTTTACAAAATATCAGAGTGAACATCATCTTGGTTTTCTCTTCACTTTTATTTTTGTTGCCTAAAGCTACACATATGTAATAGTTCACCTTGGCAACCAGATCTTCAGAGGATCGTTGAATTTTACAGATTCAGTGTATAGCCACATTATATTATCCCATTCATAAAGCACAGTACTCACACAGGCTTATTTAAAAAGTAAAAAAAGTACAACATGCAATAGCAACGAGTCACTGAAGGTGGTCATACATTGAACGATTTTCGGTCAGAAATTATACACCAATGGTCTTTCAGAAGGGAATCGAACATTTGATGGTACATTAACAATTTTCGTTTTTGATAGTTATCGAAATTCTTCAAAAATTGCTCTGGTTGGAAACATTTTCTCTGACCGAACAAAAAAATCGATGAATCGGTGGGGTTTTCATTCGTCAAAAATCATAGCAAGAACACAGGGCATGTGCAAAAGTAAATTATTTCTATTGTTTGTCAAAAATTGGTTGGTTAGTATGGCTAACGAACAATTTCGGTAATCGACATTTGACTATGTTTTGATGTGGTATTCGAGCTATAATCGAATGAGGGTTCGTGGTTTCTGACTGAAAATCTACTAGTGTATGGCCACCTTTACCTGACTCAAGTAAACAGAAATCTGAATGGTTACCAAAGGTCACGTCCCTTAACCTACTGTTACTGCCCTTATAACTGCTGTACTGTGCAAGCCTTTTATAGTGTTCGTATATTTGATCAACTGCAAAGAAATGCCACAATTCAAATCTACCTGCTTTACCTGTGAGATCTTACGGCATCGGTGCCCAATGTGCAGCTCTTTGCTACCTATTGTACAAAGGGCTGGGGGTTGGGCATAATTTATTGTACAGTTATTAGATTTGCACAGGCTTACTTACAGTATAAGATTTGTAATTACAGTTGCTGCAAAGCATTTCCCAGCTACAGGCTGAGCTCCAGGCAATACATATAAGGGAGACATTTTACCTGCCAAAGAGTTTGTATTTCCCTCCATACAGATTAACACAGCTCTGCCACACTGTCTGGCTAGGCAAGTGACCATATTTTTCTCCTCTACAGTTTAGTTACACTTATAAGTCTTGTCCTTCCCCCAGCATGTGACTGAACAGTGAAAGGGAAAGCAGACTGATAAGCTCATCTCTCTGTCACTTTCTCCTCCTATTAACATGCTCATTACACTGCAGCAAAACTCGTTGTCTCCTTCTCCCTCTCCCAGTCTTTGTTTGTGTTCCTATTCACACAGCATACCTAAATACATTTTAAAAATAAATGTTAGATGTTTCTTTGGTGAAGGTTTTTGTGCAGATTTATAGGCTGCGCTGAGCAGTTTGAAAGTGAAAGTAGGGGGACAAACTGATGGACAGACTGAGACATGCAAAGTCTCAATGCCCCCCAAAAAATGAGATTATTTTATTTTCTGTGTACAGTGCATGCGCCGTGTAAACACTCAGCCCATTCACAGTATCTCTAAGATGACATGCATAGGCTGGGTGCCGCGGAGGATGCAACTCCTGTGTGTATGTGCAGGAGTTACATCAACAGTGCCCACTCAATGGCTAAAGAGGACTTTCGGCAACTTGAAAGTATTGGCGGCGATGGCGGCAGTAGGGGACAGAGCCAAGGACCGAAGATTAATCCGACAGTGCTTAGGAAGGGCACACTTGTAAGGTAAGTATGCCCTTATGTGCAAGTATTCTGTGTGAAAAGGCAAAGGTATTGAAAAAAGAAAACGTTGACATATAGAGCAAAGTATGCACTGCCAACATACAGACTGTTGTCTAAGAAATGACTGCTTGTGATTCTGTAACGGCGTTTGCAGCACTAAGGGACCCAACAAGGCTGTAAATCGAGGAATTATGTTGCCCTTAAATCGCTGCATAAATTGGCCCCTCCCAACTGCTGTACATGTTTTCTCCCCCAATATGTTCAAACATTAAGGGGGCTTCCCCTGCCCTTTTGTTGCATTTTGCTACTGTGGTTGCCCTTAAAATGCCTGAACAAACAACCAAAATGTTTTCACCCACTGACTTCAATTGGGTACAGCTTCAATGCCTTCTAAATCCTGAACATTTTTCCTGCAAATTGAACAGAGGCATATTCAAGCACTTACTAACAAGGAATTCCAATAAGGGGATCTTGCTGGCAGAGCCCTTGAGAGATCAAATAAAATATATTTTTAGACTTATTATTTATAGCAGTAGGTAATTGTTTTCCAATAAAAAGTAGAATACCAGGTCAGGAAAAAAATGCTACATAAAACCCACCATTGTACAGAATGCTACAATTAAAGTAATATATTTCACACAGGATTAATGCATTTCTTGGCTATTGGCAAATATATAATATGGGAATGGACAACTTGACACAGTGACAGATAGCATCCTTCGGGTTATCGCTTTTATCACTGAGGAGGTGGAGATGCAAAGCAACAGCATAAAACGTATAGAATGTCGATAATTCCACTCAAGATTTTCCTGATGATCCCTAAAAGAAAAGTACAATCAGAAGAGTGCAGAATTGGTTATATAGTGTTTTTGCAAAGCATATGATGTATTATTATGGATTGTGTTTTTGAAACTTGTAGATATTACATCAAAAGAAAAAAAAATAGATAAACCTTTGTACATTTCCAGTAGACCTGGACTGGCAGAGTATCTTTGTTCTACTGAGAGCTCCTCTGCGATGGCCAGGATCAATCAGTCTTAATTTAAAAGGGACTGAAGGAAAGGAACATAATGCAGTCAAATGATACTGTATAAGGTGAATATGAAACACATAGACAAACGTACACTGGAGCTTTATAGCCAATATAAATATTTTTTCAAATAAACTGGCCATTTTTTAAAGCAGTGAATGTGACATTCACTGCAGGTGAATCAATGAGTAATTTAAAAACACATGTACCAGGAAATACACCTGCAGTAAATGGCAGTAAATGATTTGTGAGGGCCACATTCACTGCTTTATAAATATACCCCCTTGTTTTATATTAAGTATAAAAAATGGCATCTTAAATTGTATTTCCATTTTTGCAGCCACATGGGGATAACACCTATTTTATATTTGTTACCTGTTCCCATTCACATCAATGCAGGCTGAACAACTATTGGTTTCTATGTGCATTGTTAACACCACAATGCAGGCATGCTGCAATTTTTCAGTCCACACCTCACCTCATATCCCCACAGCTCACCAGTGGTGCACAAAGATGAATAAATAGTAATTTTGTAAAAAAAAAAAAAAAATGGCAAAATGTACCTTGCATTTTAACAGCCTAAGGCTGCCGCTACACAATGGATACCAACCGGCACCTGTTGTAAGTGGGCTAGTGTGGAGGAGTCCTTACCCTTAACGAACAAGGTAGTTTCTGCTCCAATGTAAACTGAAATGTATTGCTGGATAATAAAATCAGATCCACTGCAGGCTAACATCACGGAATCCAAGATCTGTCCATCCACACACGGTCAGTGTAGCCACAATGTCAAAAGCCCATAGCACGCTGGCTATTGAAACCCCACCCACTGAGCAGAGGAGCGGACCTGACCCCTGCTGCACATACGTGTGACCTCCCACCAGCCGGCGTACAGTCCGTACACTGCACTTCACAGCACTGCAGTATGTAATGAGAATGCTTGGAAATGGTGAGTGCACAGTCACATGACCACACTGACCCATGAGAAGCATTTCTGATCCAGGGACCAGGTCCCAGAAGCAAGAAGCGTTTCTCATTGTCCAGCATGGTCAAGTTACCATGATAACCAATAAGCGATCGCCTTTTGTGAGCATTATGCTTGTTACATACTGCAAGGCTGTGGCTCTACACGGCTGGCGGGGGCATCACACAGGTATGTTCAGCGCGGGCTGGGAGATGTGGTGGGGTAGTGTCGGTAAACTAATTTTCTAACATTTGTGAGAAAGTGAACTTGCCCTTTAAAAAGGTAGACTCAGCCTTTAACACCATAGACTTCACACTACTGCGTAACAAGCATAGAACACAATAGCAGCTATATAAAATCACAGCACATATCACCACTTTCTTCAACATATATCAAATCATTACTTCTCCTGAAACAAAACTTAAAACCACTTATAAAATGTCTGTCAGCTATTGTCATATCTTATGCCATCTTTAATCAGAATTGAAATCTTCTAACTGTATTGTTTTTTTTTTAATGATACTTATTGCATATGGCCACATTCTAACACTGGTTCTGTTTTCTCTCTTTCACAGCTGTTGGATGGCTTGGGAGCCCAGCCTTGGTGCATTCTATGGTCCTGTTGCATTAATTGTTCTTGTCACCTGTATTTATTTCCTCTGCACCTATGTGCAGCTGAAACGGCATCCTGAGCGGAAGTATGAATTAAAGGAAAGGACAGAGGAGCAGCAGAGGCTGGCAGGTGCAGAAATGGGTCACAGTCATATGGCTGAAGGTGGGCCAGTTGCCCAGGCAACCTGCTCCATGATTTCATCGTCACTGCTGGAAAATGAGCATTCGTTCAAGGCTCAGCTCCGAGCTGCTGCATTCACCCTTTTCCTTTTTACAGCAACCTGGACCTTTGGGGCTCTTGCTGTATCGCAAGGGCATTTCCTGGATATGATCTTCAGCTGCCTGTATGGAGCATTCTGTGTAACTCTAGGGCTCTTCACCTTGATTCATCACTGTGCAAAACGAGACGATGTTTGGCATTGTTGGTGGTCCTGCTGTCCATCCAAAAGGAATGCATACCCTGTGCCAGCCAACGCTCGGCAGAAAGTAAATGTCAACGGAGATGCCCAGGGGCATGCAACCTGCATACAGGAATCACCATGTCCTAATAAATCACCTATGTACAATCACCCTTCTGTGGCCCACTGCAAACTCACCAATTTACAAGCTGCTCAGAATCATGTAAACTGCCTTTCCCCAGTCACGCCATGCTGTGCAAAGATTCACTGTGAACAGTTAATGGAAGATGAAGCTCACATCCATGTACATAATGAAGGTGCTTTCAGACCCAACATGCACGTGCATAGGTGTCTAAAGAGCAGAACTAAGCCACGCTACTTCAGTCGACATAGGTCAGCCGCAGAAAGGGAGTATGCGTATCACATTCCTTCTAGTATTGATGGAAGTATCCACAGCTCGCACACAGACAGTCCACACAGTACACATGAGGGCCACACAGGCCACCGACGGGGCTGTTGTGCTGCAAGTGATTATCCCACCATCAGCCAACCGGAAAGCAGCGATGCAAGTACTGCAATATTTAGTTGTGGCAAAATGCCTGACTCAGAAACTGTGCACCATACTCACTTTGAGATGCAACCAAGGAGACAATCATTCCCTTTTAACACAACAAATCCCAACGGGGTACCCAAGGGTAGCATGCACGAAGCCATGATATATAGTTCCGATAATACAGGAAATATAAAAACAGGTCCTTGGAGAAACGAAACTACTGTGTAGTTCTGGGCCTTGCTCATACATTTCTCCCTGCGGTGGTAAAAACGTACGCAATGTTTTTATTTTCACTTGTTAAGTGTCTGTACAGCACACGAGTACATGTACAATGCTTGGTTCTGTTTTGTTCATACAAAGAAACCGATAGTGTGGCAATTGTGAAAACAACAAAAAAAATGTTGAAAGAGAAATAACAGTTAGGTGTATTGCAAAGAACCATGAACATATTGGTGGAAAGTAGATTGAAGAGGCAATATCCTTATTTCATGTTTTGTTACATCCTGAGCTTTCTTTGTTTTGCACTTAAAAGGCAATTCAACCCAAAACAGTTGGGGTGGGGGAGGGTTTGATCCTCCATGTCGAATTAACCTAGGCCGGTGACATTAGTAATAAGGCTTTAAAACCGTGCTTAGCCTATCACAGCTGTGAGGATGATCTCACCCACCTGGACCAACGATAACAATGCGATGTCTGGGGATCAAACCCGCCCCACTCTTTCGAAATCCATTTTTTGGAGTGTGTTACTTTCAGGTTACCATGACAATAAATTATTATGATCATTTCTGTAATATGTCCCACACATTTTGATAAGATTTATATACATGTCCAATAGGTATAATTTTTTTCAATGTTGTTTAGGGATGCGAAAGAAAGAAAAAATGTCATCTATTGACTAAAGGTGGTCATTTTGTGAGCGAAGCCAGCTTCCGGGACAATGCAGCCAAATTATTCACTTGCAACTGTCCATCAAATTGGGCAACTGGCATCGTGCTTGGAATAGCACTAGTTCTAAATAAACTAGTAGGGTGAGCATTGATCAGACCTGTTAAATGTCTGTTTTTGCTGAATGTGGGCAAGTGGTATATTTTATAAAAAACTTTACATCATTTCTAATACCATTTCCCCCCACCTATACCTTCCACAAACTAAATGATAGCTTAAACCCCATTAAACCTCATTAATCACTTTGATTGATCACCCCATCCTGCTGCTCTGTTTTTTTGACAGTGTTGTAATGTCAGGTGTCAGGGGAATATTGGAGCATAACCCTAAAATGCTTCTCTTTGGAACTTTTGCATTTCTTTGGTCATACTCCATTCTGCCATGTACTATAAAACAGGGATTTTACACCAGGGCGGATGAGGTGGGACTCCTCTGTATTACTTCACAGAGAGGTTCCAACTAGACCAAGATTTTCCATTTTGCTTGGAAATTCATTTTAAAGGGAATCTATAGTGCCATATATGTTGTCTATATTTATTTATTGTTAGTTGCCTCAATATAAAGGATTTAATTTTCTTTTTGAGCTGTATCCAAAAACTGGAGCTCTCTGATCATTTGTGTTAAAAATGAAACATAATAGCTGATACTAACCCTAGCTGATACAACCCCAAACCAACTCATCCACCCCAATCACTCCTAGTGGAGACTAAAACCCTGTAACTAGTCAGCTGAGTGTAGAAAGACTGCCAAAAGACATAGCTGAGCTTTTTATATTGAAAAGCCCTGCATGCCTTGTAAAGTGAGTGCTATGAAGGCAACTTGTAATCAGTCTTTAACTATAAAAAAAAGTAACAAATAATTTAAACATAGTAACAAATATCATCAGTTACAGATGTGTAAATCTTCAAAAAGAAAATTTTAATACATTGTTTATAGTTTCCCTTTAAATATGTCTTAGACAGTTATATCCCGTGCGACCCATTGTGATGTATTGACAGAGAGGAGCAGATTTGTACCTCTACCTGTAAAGCATGCAAACCAATTGCACCTGGTTCACTCACCTTGTAACTAAACCATCCCAACCCTCTGAAATGTTCACACTCTTAGCTGCTATCAAATTATTTCTATATTTCTAATTTAACAGAAATGGCCACCATTTTGCTGCTAAACCCCCATGCTTAAAATATGTTACCGTCCTTTAAGGTTTCCCATATAAATAATGCTGGAACAGGCAATACCATTCTGGCACAGAGGTAGAGCAATACAAGGTCTTTATAAATATTAGTCGCAGTTTAATCTGTAGAGGAGTGATATTGCCTCTGAATGTCTGCCACCAGCACTCTAGAATTACCTATTGTCCACTCAACATTAGTTTCTCTCCATGTTGGAGGGAAGTGCTAGCTAATGTGTCTCCTTTTCCATCAGTGTTGTATTGGTTGTAATATGCATGACGCAAGTCAGGATATTCCATTTGTTGTTTTTCAATGTTACATGTTAAAAAAAATGCAGTATTGTTAAAGACTGTGAAAATCATGTTGGTATTACTCTGGAGCATTATGACTCAACAGAAACTCACCTCTGCACTAGTGTAAGTGGCACAATCCTTCGTATGAGGTATTATAAACTTTGATTAAACTCACTCAGATGTCTTTGCAAAGCATGCAGTACCCATTGTATGTGACACTGTGCTAGCTTTTATAAGCAAATTCACAAGTGTTCAACAGGAGCTTCGACAGTGCTGGTTTCTTATTAAGTAATTTGGGGCAAAATACGTCTGAAACATGTGCTGTAGGAAAGAGTCATCTAACTATTAGGACCTAATCACACTTGTCCATTTTCATTTAGCAAAACATGCTTTTTGCTGCATGAAGATGCATTGCAAGTAAAAATCCAACCATTTCCTTTGTGGCTGGTTCACATCTATGCACTGCAGTTTAGTGTGAAAGCTAAACTATATACAACAAGCCCGTGCACATGGGGAATCCAGCCTTATTTAATTTTGTGCAAAATATGTTACTTGGTTCAGTCCATTGTGTTCAGTCTTCCACATAAAATATATTCAAGTAATCTTGTGCTTCTTTTTAAACTTAAGGTCCTGCCTAAAGGTCGTCTGTTACCTACATGACCTAAAAAAGCTTCTTTTGTGCCCATCTCTGATTTATTTTTACTTTGTTAGTAGGGCATAAGTTTCCCTCACCTTATGAAGTCTTCACAACAGCCATTCCACTACCCACTGAGAGAGCTTCAGTGGCTTGTAATGACACTCTTATTGGACAGGGGGGTGCCAGTTGGTGAAGCGTACTCATCAAACCAGGCCCCGTTAAATAAGTGTAACTAAATCAGAGGATCACAAAATAAACTTTTTTGGTTAATAATGGTAATGTCATAAAAGTTAGCATAATGGAAATATTAAGCCTGAGACTGTTGATACCACACCCCTACAACATATATATGACCAAACAAAACAAAAAATGGGGCTTTAACGGTATCCAGTATCATTACCACACAGCTTTATAAAATTAACATATACATACTTTATCAGTTTCCATAAAACATGAATAATACAAAAAAGAATGAATTAAAAAAAAAGAGACAGTCTCCCAAAATCAGTCGAACAATCTCCTAAAGGCCATCAGATTATCAGCAATGTCCATGACATAGTGAGAGAGAGAAATAATATAATCTAACTTGTAAATGACACATTCATATTTCTATTAGGGATGTTCAGATACCAAGTACCGATACTTTTTCAGCTCCATTGAAGACTACACTAGAGAAAAACTCAAACGTTAGGAGGGAGCTGTCATTTTTAAGGAGCATTGACTGCGGGGCTCCTGGGATTTGTGCATCCCCATTTTAATATAATGTATCCCCTGTTTTAAGGGATGCACCAATACCATTTTTCCAGAACAAGTACCGATACTTGTTCAAGTGCTCATAGATACCAATTACTGATACCTTTTTTAGTGTCATGTGACAGTTTTTTCTAAAACAATACAGACTAAAGATTTCAGAACAGTTGTTGAGTGCCAGGGCCCAGTCGCAGCTGCGACCTTGGTAGTCCTCGTGAAAAGTCCTCGGCACCGATACAGATACTGGTAACTGAACATTCCTAATTTCTATGAACTATGTTGTGAATGCTGCTGATAATCTAATGGTCATTAGGAGACTGTTCAGCTGATTTTGAGGGAAACTTTTTTAATTCTTTTTTTTTTTGCATTTAATCATGTTTTATGGAGACTAATAAAAGTATGTATATTTTGATTTTTTTTTAAATGTGTGTTAGTGATACTTGATACCATTAAAGCCCCATTGTTTGGTCATAATAATGGTAATGAGCAAGCGTATTGTACTTTAGTTTAAAATGGAGTATAGGGTCACTTTAACCTCCCTGGCGGTATTCCCGAGTGTGGCTCGGGTTTAATTTTCAGTACCCCTGAGCCACACTCGGGATTGCGCAAAAGTGTCACTTACCTTGTCCCTGCAAGCCCACGGTGTCCTCTGCTGTATGCGCCCAGCCAATGCCGGCATTCGGCTTTCAGGTTCGTTTTAGTGCGCCACAGCGGGGGGCGGAGCCGGTGGGAAATTCAAAAGTGCAAACATGACATTTACACAGAATACACACAATACAATGTAATCTGCTATAATTACATATATTTATTAAACTATTTCACTTCAATTTTGCTTTGTCCGGAGCCCTGCCTGCACTTTTACTGTACTCTATTGACTGTGGTACGGATCAGGCAGCGCCCCCAGAATTCCCATTTACTGGACCATTTTTGTAATTATTATATTATAATTTTTTTTTATTATAATTTTTTATAATTATTTATTATATTATAATTTATGATTTCGTGTTTCAAACTTTATCATACCCGGGATGTTTACTGGACTCTTGTGAGAAATCTCAGATTTAGTGAGTTATTCCTAAGATTTACTAAGAGTTACAGACCTACAATATAAAACAACAAATTGCCATGAAAAACAATGTACCGCTTTGGCATGCTAAAATCCTGCATAATCAGACCGCCAGGGAGGTTAAGGAAGAAGAGTTTTTGCAGCAGATGGCAACCAAATTATTTCCCAAATTTAAAGCTAAGTGTACACATGCCTACTTAGTTGGGCTACTAGTTAAGAAAAGGATAACAGAAATTTACTTTTTAAGCAAACCTGTTTGCTCACCTTATCAAAAGTTACCTTGAGTCCCTAGAGTAGTCATTTTAAAAAGGTACCTTGCCACATCTTCAAGTTGGCATCCCAGACTTGTTAATGATATTAACAGGAAAGAGAACAAAAAATTCCAAAATTTTGTTCCCAGAAAAAGT